CTGTTTCTTAGGTCTTCACATGCTTGTAGATGATGAAAAATGGAGCAGTACACATTGCAATAGTTGGATTGGGAAGGGTCTTCAAAGCATGTTAAGAAATATGGAGTTCATTCTGGGGCCCACAGGGAGCTTCTAAAGGGCTTTAGGTAGCAGCAAAGTTTATTTAGATAGATCATTATGGCAATTCCCAAATGGAGAATGGGCTGAGAAGGGAAAACTGGAGGCCAAGGGGCCAGTTAGGAGGCTTTTATAGAAATCCAGATGAGAGGTTGGTAGTTTGAGCCAGGGTGGATGGAAAGCAATGAATAGAACCAATGGATATGGATGAGGAGACGGAGGCCCATGGGGATAAAGACCAGTTTCTGGTTTGGACATATACAGACAAAGAGAACAAGAAAGGGAGAGCAGATTTAGAGTCAAGTCTCTAAGTTCAGGTTTCAGCATGTTGTCTTTATCAAGGAACAGTTGATGTGTGACTCCAAGGTTTAGAAGGGAGAKCCCAGATAGGGTTAACAGGGAAGTTGTCAGTGTAGGGATGGACATTGGTGCTACTGAGAGCRCATTCGAACTGAAGAAATTCTAGGGCAGAACTTTGAGAAACACCAACATTTCAGAAAAGGGCAGCAGTACAGAATTTTGAAAAAAAAGCTGGGACATGGGCATRTGGTGGAGGGAGAACCCAGGGAGGGAAGTCACAGAGTCAGTGCAAAGTGATTTCCTAAGAAGGTGTGGACAACAGGCTCAAATGTTTGGAGGACTAGGAGGTGTCTGTGGACTTTAGTGAGACAGAAGTTGTGAGTGACTGATTGAGGGCCAGCTTAGGTGGAGCAGTGGAGGCCAAAGTTTGACAATGATTAACAGACGAGTGATTGGACAGCTCAGTCATGTGTAGTAAGATATTTGGCTCAAAGGGGGAGATGAGATGATGCTGACCAGCCGTAGGTGCATACAGAGCTGAGGGTAACTGCATCTGTATGTAAAGCTACTTCCATACCTGTTTCCCTTTTAGATTTAAGAGACTTGATCTCTTAAATTGCTGAGGCGAAGGAGTGAGCAGAAAGGACAGGAAAGACAGGAGTATGTTTGGAGGGAATGGAATCCATGGCTGGTGGATGAAGATAGCCGCCTTGACAGCACGAGGGACTCGGTTTCCGCTGAACCAGACAGGAAGAAGCAGGGATGGGGAGGAAGGTGAGTTTGTGGGTGTGATGGGGGGAAGGCTCCTGCCTAAATGAGTCTGTTTTCTTAGGGGGTCTGCAGCTGGCAGCGGGACCAGCAACCAGGGCAAAAGGTCAAAGGAAAGAACAGAAGGCTGCAGGCGGATTCCAGAGAGGATGAGGAAAGAAGCTAACAAAGGCATCCAGAGGGTCACTGCCCGGGATATTCGGGGTCAGATGTGGTGGGAGGCTATGGATTTAGATCCACAGTGAATCCTTCATCAGTGCGACCTTCCTGTGTAGTGCTCAGTTGCCATGGTGCAGGCAGAGTGAAGGTGAAAAGTTGGACTCTAATTTTAGGATCCTTTAAGTCTGAGGAGCTTTTGGTACCTAGAGAGGAACACATACCATCACCTGGGTTTTATTTATTAACTCTATATTTCATTAACATTCTTGAGCAGAAATCATCAAAACACTTGAATACTTTATATAAACAACAAATCAAAATMTATACCTGTTACAAGGGAAATTATTTAAACATTAATCATAAAAATTGAGTCCTTCTAAAATATTTCAATAGAACTGCCTCTAATGTGTCAATTCCTCTAAAAGCTTTAAACACTTTGGAAAAGCAAACACATCATTAAGAAGAAAATAAAATCTTTTCCTAAATATTTATTTTTTAGTTATAGATTGACACAATATCTTTTATTTTATTTTTTATGTGGTGCTGAGGATCAATCCCAGTGCCTTACTCACGCTAGGTGAGTACTCTACCTCTGAGCCATTACCTCAGCCCCAAGAAGAGTATAAAATTTTTAACCTACACCTGAAACTATTATAAAAATGGGTTGATAGACCCCAGAGATGAATACTACCTCACTTCAGACCAAATTTTTAATTTAGAAAATAGAAGAATATTATCTTAATGCTGAGGAAATTTTGGATTATTAATCACTGAACTCTTGATTGAGACCTGGGAACTGATTTACCTTCTGGGTAAAACCTGAACTTTTCAAGCCCACACATTTTCCATGAGTTTAGTGTATTGTGCTGGATGTCTTTTCTCCACAAGATGTCATCTTTACGTTTAAAGACTATGTATGACACAGATGTCTTGAAGATGTCCATGCCCTGATCCCTAGAACCTGTAAGTCTGTTATGTCATATGGCAGAAGGGACTTTGCATATGTAATTCAGATTATGGACCTTAAAGTAGGGAGATCATTCTGGATAAGGTGGGTGTGCCCAATCTAAGCATGTGAATCCTTAAACTCAGAGAACTTTTTCCACTGAAATCAGAGAGATTAAAGTGGCTCAGTTGTTGGCAGGAAAACAGAGGGCCCAGGGAATCATTCCTACAACCGTAAGGAACTGAATTCTAAATGAGTTTGGAAGTAGATTCTTCCCTTCCAGTAAGGAAGGTAGCAGCCGAGCCTACACCTTGCTTTTGACTTCGTGAAACACTGAGCAGAGAATGCAGCAATGCTTTGCAAGACTTCTGACCTACAGAAACTGAGGTAATACATAGGGGCTGTTCTAAGCCAAGGAGTTTGCCATAATTTGTTGCACAGCAATAGAAAACTAATACAGCAAATTTACCGTAATAATTAACAAAATCTATCTGGCCTATTTGCATTTTGAAACACTTCTAGTTATCTTCCCCAGTGTCTGTTCTCCCCTTCTTTCTTAATGTAAAACTCTTGACTATGAGCTGGATATGACTACCTAGAATAACAAAAGATTATTTCCTAGCCTATCTTCCTGGTTTGGTGTGGACAAATGTGATTAAAGTCTAGCCAATAAGATGTAATCAGAAATGTTGGGTGTGGTCAGATGTGGTGGTACACGCCTGTATTTCCAGCTATTTGGGAGCCTGAGGCAGGAGGATCACAAGTTTGAGGTCAGCTGCAGCAATTTAGCAAGACCCTGTCTCAAAATAAAAATAAAAAGAGCTGGTGGTATTGCTCAGTGGTAGCCTGCCCCTGGGTTCAATCCCTACCTCTGCAAAAACAAAACAAAACAAACATAAATGTTGGGTGCACCTTTCAGAATGCTGCTTTAAAAGAAAGAGGTGTGCCTTTTCTTCCTTCCTACTTCCTGGGGGCTGTTAGACTAATGTAAGGGCTGGCATTCATAGAGCCATCTTGGGTCATGAGGTGGCATGCTAAAGACAGTAGTACCGCAAGAAGAGAGGAGGGAGGCTGGGCTTTTATGATCATAAAATAGCCATCCATCCCTGAACTCCTTAATTGCAGATTCTTCAATGTGAGACAGAAAGAATCTCCTATCTTGTTTAAGCTAGTCTTCCTGGCCATAAATTATTGCCAAATGGTGAAAGAAAAAGTTGTGTGTACATGTGTGTTTATAATTTTTTTCCCTAGCATTGGGGATTTACCCAAAGCCTTACACATGCTAGCCATCGCCCCACCACTAAGCTACACCCCAGCCGTATTTCTTTTTAAAACCATAAATTCACATCAGCATTTCTTATTTAACTTGAATATTACTATATCCTTTTTTATTTGACTGCAATACATAGTTTTATATTTATTTTCTTTACAACATACCACATCTGCTTTTATCTTGCAATCCCTGATCCCAAATACATCTTCTCTCTACAGGGAGAGTGATTACCATTCTGTAATTACTATATTGATAGATATGGACCAATGGGATAGTGGGAAGAGAGAGAGAGAGAGAGAGAGAGAGAGAGAGAGAGAGAGAGAGGGAGGGGCTGGGGGGAGGGGACGGGTGTATATGTGTGTGTGAGCGTGAACGTGAGCATGCAAGAGCTTATGATACTGTCAGAGAGTAGCTGAAGGTACAAATTATATAATACCAGGTAATAGGAAGCTTAAGAAGGAGCATAAGACAGTACAGATTATTAAAAAGAAGAGAGAGTGTGGAGACAGGTTGAAACAGGAACAGTGAAGGTAAATGAGTGAGAGTGCTGGAGTAAGGAGGTGGTGGTCAGAGTGTGGAGTGACTTAAGTTCAGACTTCAAAGGTGGAGTAATTCTAGGAGGTGGTCAAGCAAAGGACATATGGTCATAGATGTGTTCCATGGTCCATGTGTGACCTTCTACCCGCATCTCCAGCTCTGTACATCTGCTCTCAGCCAGAGCAAACATACACACCCAAGTCTTGGGTGGGAAGATGAGGGCCAGAGTCCATCTGGGTCATGGTATAAGTGTACAGCCAGGATCCCTGCCTGCCAGTTGTCCCAGTAAATGCAAAATATGTACTGTGTTTAGGCTAGGCATATGCCCCTTCCTGGCTCATGAACCCTGTGGAGTGCTCTGTGGCCCTCCCCATACTTAGCTTGTGGCTGAGCCTCCCACCCCAGCCCATACGGTGCTGGCTGAGACCCATGATGTTGGCACTCTTCACAGGAAGGAGCCTGCAGGGTACTCTAAGGCTGGTCCATCTGGGCCCCTGTAGGAGCCTGTCAGGCCTACCTGCACCACCTGTCTCCAAATAGCGCTGAGCAGGAAGCTGGGATAGGGGAATAGGAGGAGCAAAAACTGCAAAATAGTGCAAGTCTCTCTCCCTGCCAGACCTTGCCCTGATTCTAGGGCTGCAGGTACAAAGAAATGTAGCAGGAGACTAGAAGGGCAACAAGGGATGAGGGGTGGACTGTGAGAAGGGCCAGGTCTGAGCTGCCCAACTCTGCTCTTCTCTATTCTTAACCTTGGGTATTTGGCACATGCAAAGAGGTGGGATATAGACAACCTGAGGGAACCACTCTCCTAACCACTTTCCTGCCCCAAAGATGTTTTTACCGGGACAGGGGAGGGCAGAAGGCAGTGATGGGGGCTGAGTCTTCGAAGGATCTGAGTCTTCAGAGTGGGAATATGAGGAAGCCAGAGAAACTTGAGTATTTCCAGCCACCTAGCAGATTCCCCCGACGTAGGCGCAGGGACACCCGGTCCCCAGGGTCCAGGGGAAGCAGCACAGAGCTGGTGGCTGCCTCCCGGGTCACATCAGGATCATTGGCAAAGGCTGAGATGACAGGCCATGTATTCAACATCAGGCTTACCTGGGGAGGGGAGCCCAGTTAGCATCCCTCCCCCACACCCTAGCTCAGGACCCTCCCTTTGCCAAGGGCTTCCTCTCCAGAACCTAGGGCTTAATGGACTCTCCTGGTAGTGCTGAGGGGTGGCCAGTGTTTGACTCAAAACATTATCCACACTGTGGTAGGCAGGACCTTTCCTCGCTTGCTCCTGGCCACCAGGACACAAGTCAGTGGAGAGTTTGCCCAGGGCTCAGTGGTGCTCCACTTATGCCCCCTCCCCTCCCTCAAGAGCTGGGGATGGGCCCAGCATTCAGATCACCTGGACAGTTTGGCGATTGTACACCTTYACCACATGGAACCGGAAGCTGTAGACTCCCCGGACAGGGGCCACGAAGGAGCCTGAGGCCCGGTCAAAGCCACCGCCTTCATTCACCAGGACCTGGGGGAAGCAGATCCTGCTGAGTAGGGCTCAGGGATGCCAGAGTGGGGCTCTCTGGGATAACACTGGGGATGGGACAGGGGCAATGAGTATGGGAAAGAAGAGGTGGTAAGCAGGAGTGAACAGGAATGTACATATTTTAAAAAAATGGTAAAAAGGGCAAGGAGGAATGTGTGTATGTATGAAGGGAAGGGAAACAATCAGTGGCGACATTAGGGGAAGATGTAGGGAGTTGTTTTCTTGAAGGGTCAGCAAAGTGGGCTTGGACAGTTGATTGCAGGTCTTGGTGGTTCTTTGGACAGGGTTGCAGGGTTGGTGGAGGGGAGGTTACCTGGTCAAAGTAGATAGCCCCGCTGGTGCCGTTGCCGGTCTCCCCTGCTGGCTCATGGTGGTGGCTTCTAACTGCAGCAAATGCTACTCTTCCGGGGGGTGCCTCTCCCAGGGCTGCTCCCCCGGGGCCCCCTGCAGCAGCTCGGCCAGGCTCACAGACCACCAAGCATTCACCCTCCAGCAGGACAGGCTCTGACCCCTCCTGGGCCAACCCTGCTCCCAGGGCCAGAAGCAACAGGGCTAGGGGCAGCCCCAGGCTGTGCAAGGGATCTGGCAGCCAGTGTCTTCTTGCTCCCAACATGGCTGAGTGCCTCTTCGGCTCACAAGTGTCTTATCTTCTGCCCCCTTTCTGCTGCCCTGGGCACTCAACACCCCTCACCCTGCTCCTCTGCCCTCTCTCTGGGTCTCACTGTCATCTGGCCTCTGGACCTCCCTCTCCATACCTCTGTGTCCTGCAGCTCTGTCCTGCCTCCCACTCCGTTACTCCTGCTGTCACTGCAGTTCCCTCCTCCTTGGCAGAACATTAAGTGACAGCAGTTGGGTTCTGGGAGGGAGAAGAGGGATGAAGACAGGACAGGAAGGCTAAGCCAGAGTTCTAGGTTGGCCCCTATGGATGGGCTAGTACGGGAGGCTCCACCTGGGGTGATGGAGAACTGGGTATAGGTGAACATGTGAGTTACAGTTCTAAAGCTCCTTCCTTTCCTCCTCTATTCAAAACCCCTCACAAAACAGCAGCCCTTCCCTGTAGCACCTTTCCATTTAGTAGGAGAGAGGGGTGTCCTGTCTTCCCCACAATTGTTTTAATGGAAAGGGCTTGCACCAAGAGCCTCACAATCTTGTGACCCTGGCCCAGTCACTTTCTCTTTTTGGTCTTCCATATTTTCATGCCAAGGGATCAAACTTTCAACGAATGATTCCTCTTTCCCAAGAAACAAATGAGCAGAACACGCAAGAACCCCGAAGGCGGGGAGACAAACGAGAGCTGGAAGGGAAGCCAGAAGGCTGAGTGGCCTAGAGAACTGCCGGCGACAGGACTGGGCGGAGTCGGGGACGCGGGGCGGGGCGGTGGCTAGAGAAGGCCCTGCGCGCCGCGCACTGGGGAGGAGGAAGCGCGCCTCTGGGCTGCGTGCCAGGGCAGGGCAGGCGCGGTCGGGGGAGGAGCGGGGCTGACTCCGCCCTAACCCAGGAAGTGACTCAAAAAATAGTTTGAGAGGTGGAGAGACGAGGTGCTCGTTGGGTGAGAAACCCAGGAAGGCCCGCCCAGATTCGGGCCCCATGCCCTAGTCCCCTGGGCTGGGGGCACGGGCGAACCTGGGGCCCTGGGGTACCAAGAGGCGCCAGCGGGACGTGAGGCTGGAGCCCGCGGCTTAGGCGGG